TCTCCTCCTCACATCTTCTCTAGTGCGCTCGCTCCTCGTTTTCTCCTCCCCCTCTGCACTCCCCCCGTCTCTCTCCTCCTCCCCTCCTCTCCTCTTTCGCCTCCTCTCTCTCTCGCTCCCTCCTCTCCTCTCTCCCTCCTCTCTCTCTCCTCTCCTCCGCATCCTCACCCCATTCGATCCTCCTCCTCCCCTCTCCTCTCGTCTCTCTCTCCTCCCTCCCCTCTCTCTCTCATCTCCTCTCTATCTATCTATCCTATCTATGTCTTCTCTCTCTCCGTCTCCTCTCTCTCTCTCTCTCTCTCTGGTCTTTACTCTCTCATCGCCTCTTCTCTCTCTCTCTCTCCATATATATTTTTACTCCTCTTTCCCTCCTGTTCCCTTCTCTGCTTCTCTTTCACTTCCTATCTTCCTCTTCGTCCTTCTCCCCTTCTCTCTTCTTCCTCATTTTCTTTCTCCATCTTTCCGTAGGCCTAACATAGTGTCGTTCCTCCATCACTTTTTTTTCCGCCTTCCTTGCTGCTTGCTCTCGCTTATTTCCCCTTCTTCTCCATTCTTCTTCTTCCTTTGGCCTTCCCACCTTGGCCCTTGCTGCATTTCCCTTCCCTTTGCCCCTTCCGCCTTGCCATTTTCCTCTTTACTATTCCCCTTACCCCCTGCCCTAGCCCACTCCCCCTTCCCCCTACCCCTTACCTTGCCCCTAGCCCCTCCCGCCTCTCCCTCCCCCTAGCGCCTTCCTTGCCCCTCCCTCTTGCCCTTCCCCTTGCTCCCTTGCCCTCCCCTAGCCCTTGCCCTATCCCCCTTCCCCTAGCCCTCCCCCTCCCCTTCCCTCTTGGCCTATTCCCATTACCCTTCCCTAGCCCCTTGCCCCTTGCCCCTTGCCCTTTCCTCTTGCTCCTTCTCTTTTGTGTAATAGCCGTTTTAGCCAAGCGTCTAACCCCGTTAACGGCAACGGAGGCCAACAGGGAAATCTACGCTGAACGCTCGGTTGGAGTTCGCTCGCTTCGGCTTGGTTTGGCTTGGTTTGGTTGGTTTTGGTTGTTGGTTTGGGTTTTTGGGTTTGGTTTTGTGTTTGGTTTTGATTTGTTTGGTTTGGTTTGGTTTGGTTTGGGGTTTTGACTTGGTTTGGTTTTGGTTTTGGTTTGTTTGGTTTGGTTTGGTTTGGGTTTGGTTTGGTTTGGTTTGGTTTTTGGTTTGGTTTGGGTTTGGTTTTGTTGTTTTGGTTTGGGGTTTTGGTTTGGTTTGGTTTGGTTTTGGGTTTGGTTTGGTTTGGGTTTTGGTTTGGTTTGGCTTGATTGGTTGATCTTGGGCTTGACTTTCTTGCTTTGGGTTTGGGTTGCTTCATGGATACGGAGTGGTTGTTTTTGTCGTCCAACAATTTTTTTTTTTAAAATATTAAGGCTGTATGGGCACTTGTAGGTACACTTCCTCTTCTTAACTCCTTTTTATTCGGTTATCTTCATTTCTTTTTTAATGTTGTTCATTTTTTGATGCAATCATATTCTAATACAAAGGTCTTCCATTTTTTTTTTATTTATCATCATTAAAATCTTTTCATATATACGTTATTTATTTATCTTTGATTTATTTTTCATTGTTGTTGAAGGTACTCTGCATGAACAGCGCAAACAATGCAAATAAAAGCGAGCTTGTCATGAAATATTAAAGCAAAACTGCAATTATGGCTGTTATGATTGTTGTGGTAAATGAATGGTCGATGAAATAATCTGGTGAAAGTAAGAGAGAGAGAGAGGGAAGAAGAGAGGGGAGGGAGAGAGAGAGAGAGGAGGGAGAAGGGAGAGGGAGAGGGAGAGGGAGAGGGAGAGGGAGAGGGAGAGGGAGAGGGAGAGGGAGGAGGGAGAGGGAGAGGGAGAGGGAGAGAGAGAGAGAGAGAGAGAGAGAGAGGGAGAGAGAGAGAGAGAGAGAGAGAGAGAGAGAGAGAGAGAGAGAGAGAAGAGGCGGAGAGAGAGAGAAGCAGAGGGATAAAGAAAGCGAAGAACGGAGAGAGGCAAGAGGACAGAGAGAGAAAGAATGAAGAGAGATAGAAAAGATAGAAAAATAACAATGAAGAGTAAACAGATAATAAAAATAAATGAATGAAGAGAGAAGGAAAAAGGAAAATAAAGTGATATATTTCATTCTACTCTCGGACAACCATACCATTTTTTTATTCTTTTTCGTCTTATTTGAATATCGCAATATTTGCTGAAATATTCATGTTACCGCCACCCGCGATTTTCATAATCATCAATATTCCCAGGAACCACACTGGTCATACATAATAAGGTCGGTATTAATAACATAGGGTCAAAATAAGTGTAAGGCACGCTTTTCGAATAATCTTTTGAGGGAGGTCAGTCTCCTATTTTTCTCTCGCTATTTTTTTTTTCATCTTAAATATTTGCGTCCTATTATCTATCTAATCTATCTATCGATGTGTCGTATCTTCTATGTTTGTGTTACTATCTATCAAATCTAATTTATACTATTTATCTTCTAATAGTTAAACTTATCTACCCTGTCTGTCTAGTCCTATCCTACTTATTCCTGATTAAGGCAGAATTTAAGAACAAAAATATGTTTGCGTGTGGTGTGTGGTGAGTTCATGGGTTTCCTGTCCCTGTCTGTCTGTCTTTTTTTCTCAANTATCATTATTATTATATTATTAATATATTATATAGCGTTAGTGATATCATCATTATTATTATCAAAATCATCATAATCAATATCATTATCAGTTGTTTGAGTATCATCCTATATCATTATTATCCTTTGAACATAATCATCATCATACGTTTTGTTACTACTACCACTACTACTACCATTATTATATCATCATTATCATCACTAGTATTGTCATTGTGATTATGAAAAGTAGTTTATAGTACCATTATATGTTTTCATTATCATTATAGTATCACTTTACTGTTATTGCTATTATCATAACCATCATTATTATTATTAGTAGTAATAGTAGTGGTAGTATTGGGTGGATGAGGGTTATATTACCGTATTTTAGCTTGTTGTCATTGTTGCTGTTGCTTTGTTTTTATTATTAGTATCATTATCATTTATCTTTTATTATT